AGCAGAATACGGCAGGGGTAGGCTCTTCACATGAAGAAAAAACATCTGCTTCTGCTACTGCGTCTGGAAGGCCCGACCAGCTCCGAAGAAGATGCCAAAGGTTGCCAAGGCAGCCGATTCATCTGGCACGCCAGGAAGCTCTCCACCAGGAGAGGTACCTGTGCTGTCGCCAGAGGCCCTTCAAAAGCTCATCAGAGAGCACGAGCTGGAGGAGGAGAAGAAGCGCCAGGGCACAGAGATGGAGGGCCTAGCAGATATGCGTATCAGTCCGGGGACACCGTCCACGGCAAGGTGGATGCGCATAGGCTCCAACAGCAAGAGGAGCTGTTAATCACGGTGTTGTCCATCTCACCAACAAGGAGGGCCAGCGTATGTACTCCACAAACGGCGATCCCTACGTGAAGCTCGCTCCGTGGCACGCCCGTACGATATGCGGGATCTCCTGGGTGGTGAGTACAACTGGGCGACCTGGATGCAGCCCCCTCTCTCCGGGTATTCCTTGCACTTTTCCTATTTGGCTTTCGAGTTTGGAAAGTTGCAAGGGAACTACCTGGTGGAGTTTCGCGACAAGCCGAAGGTCTACACCGGTGGTTACACGAGTCCCTTCGAAAAACACCCCGGTGGAATCCCCAAGCTTCTCGATGACCTCCGCATGGCCTCCGAGAATGAGTTCCGTCCTCTTGTCAAAGAGATCGGCTTCAAGCGCCCGTACCGTGAAATCCAGTATGTCCGTGAGGACTTTTGCACGCTGGTCTCGGTCATCACTGAAGCGTACGGGCCCGACTTCTTCGCCTACATTCAGCGCCGTGCGCAGAATACGGAGGTTCGTCGGAAGTACCTCGTCAAGACTGTTGAGGGGTACGGCCTGTACGACTCGACGCTTCAGCAGCCGTTCAATGGCCCGTGTATTCTCGCCTGCCTTGAGAAGGTCTTCATGCAGAACGCTGAACAGAAGGACTTCAAGTCTAAGTTCGGTCGCAAGGCAAAGAAGGACCTTATGGCATACCTTGCACTCAAGGAACAGCGGGAAGCTCAACTGGAAGAGCTCTACACGCGTCCCTACGAGAACGTCGCCGTTGAAGAAAAGCTTCCTGTTCCACAGGTCGAGGAGGTCGTTGATCCCGAGAAGGACACCCCCAATGGACACCTCCGATGTCGCAGCAGGGTCAGCGGACTTACCACCGGGTAAGATGGCTGGCTCGGCAAAGACAGAAGCACCCGATGTGCCAATGGAGACCGAAGCTCCAGAAAGCTCTTCACAGGGAGAGGAATGTGGGGTAAAGGTCGAACCTTCCGAAAGCTCTTTACTGGAAGAGGCATCGAACACCAAGGATGAGCACATGGGTGACAACGACGAACCGATGGCACCAGAGAGCTCTTCATCTGAAGAGGCGTCTACGCCTGACATTTCACCCGAAAAGGATGCCAAAGGTCCTACTCTCCACGACCAGGGCATCTGGGGAAAATGCGAGAACGTCGTTGATCCGGAGGCTTTTAAAAGGGCTGCTAAGGAAGCCGAGACTCAGAACGAGTCCGCGTTCAACAACAAGGAGGACGCAAAGGAGAAGTACGGCCTCGAAGATACTAAGGAGTATCAGGATTTCATTTCTACCTTGGCACAGAGAGAGAAGACTAGCCCTATGCGTCTTCTTTCCAATCAAGTCCGGGGTTATGGTTACAGTGGCCTATACCACACAGGTATATCCGAGATGAAACCTATGACCCTGTCAATGCGTTCAAGATGCAGCACATGAATTGGCGCGTTCGACGAGAGCCGCACTCAGCTCAGAAGTACACCCTGTCAGAAGAGGATCTCTTCAAACAGCTATGCAACATGGCTCCCATCTATGAACGTCGCCCTGACCGCCTGGACGTCATTTTTCGGACAGGTGATGTGCGCGCCACTCTTGACGACAAGTTGATGGAGAGGGCATCTGCCTCTAAGGCCGCAGCGTTTGAAGCCGCAGCGCTTGAAGCGTACGATGCTCTCTTAAGAATTGGAGAAGGTCAAGGAACTCCATAACGATGGCCGTCCTGCTATGCGCGGGAGGAGCTTCTGAATGCAATGCTCCATTTTTCCTCGGGGCTGGTGTTGATGAAGAGGATATCGGAGACTTGTCACTGGACAAGATACCGAATCCTATCTTCTTTCGTTTTGGTTTGGCGGAAGATGGACCAGTTCCTATCTACACCTCCATAACCAAATGCACTGCACTGGTTGTCAATTTGGGGAACCTGGCACGCGGCAGGAAGAGGTCAGCGCCGTCAGCATTCGCCGACTACATCGACTACGATGACACGCGCTTCTTTATGCTGCGAAGCCTCCGCGGTGTCTTCTCAGGAGTTCGATTTCCTGCGCTACAGAGGATGGGAGATTATTCAAAATGCTTGCAAGGACATCCTCATCGGCAGCAGGACCAACAATGTTGGTTCCTCTCTGAGGCGATTAGCAGGCTCGACACTTGTCGGGGTAGCTCATCACCATCTCCCTTTGACGTACACAATCGTGGAGATCGTCTATGGGAGAATGCTGCCAGCAGGAAATCAAGGAAATCGGGACGAGTTCCCTGTCTGACAGCACCACTCATGAGAGCCGGCAGCGATCGCATACGCGTGTGCATGTTCCACCTGAACAACGTCATCGCGGCGAAAAAGGTTGCTGTGGCTCATGAGGCTTTGGGCAAGATGCTCTGTGACTGCCTGTACTACCAGGTCGATTTGATCGGCGGTGACGCCAACATCGCATTATACCGTGCCATGGGAAGCAAGCAGGAGAGCATGGACATTAAAGGAGGCATGTGTATGTCCATACTCGACTATATTACATCGAGGCATGGTCGCGCGCGCCACAATGTTTACCTTTCTGCGTTCCCCGAGTACAACACGTCACAGCCAACAGCCTGGGTCTTCTCAAACAGTATGAAGATCAGCTGGGACATTCCAAATACAGGGACTGCGTCGCACCTGATTGGAGCACATTCCCAGGTTTGGATCCATTGGTGGCCTCTGTGATGGGGCCATGGTAAGGACGATGACCAATGGGCAGAGTTTGCTTCTGCGCGGTTTGAGTACAAGGTTGGGGGACCGAGACACTGAGGCTCATACACCGTTGATGATCGATGTCCATGCCAATCAGTATGATCGCGCACGGGCGAGAGCGCTCAACCGGAACCCCGATACGGTCAAGGAATCAGCGGACAGGACAAAAGAGAGACAGAAGAAGAACAAAGCCCGTGGCTTTGGTGATGCACCAAAGGGCAAGCTCTCCACAGGGAGAGGAAGTCTCCGGTGCTGCCTCATCTGGCTCTCGACGTCCTCCAGAACCTGCTGAACCTCCTCGTGGTTCCTTTCGCCCTCCAGAACCCGCATAACCTCCTCCTGGCGGAAACAAGTCCTCCAAAGGAAAGTCCAAGGGCCAGTCCAAGGGCAAAGACAAGCGCAAAGGCAAGGGCAAGCACTAATAGGTTCCGACTCCGATTCGGAGTCGCCGGATTTGACCATTGGTTATAATCCTCCTGATCACTGATCATCCTCCTACTTAGATCGTATTGTCCGTCAACAGCCTAATGTGTTTCTCACTGAAGAGCACCGACGGCTTGGGGAAACTCGAGGCCGAACATGGGATGATGACATGAATGTGCCTCAAGAAGTTCCACCACGTCCTCCTCCTCCTCCTCAACGGGGTCAGTTTGCGAGTCAACAGCCGTTGGAAGTCATTCCGACATTTCATCTAGGGTCTGTGGCCCGCGCAGCTCGTAACCGCACTTGGGATGAGGACATGGAATTTCTGGAATGAGCCGATTTCACTGAATGCTTCTCACAGGAGAAGGTATCTAAAGTGTAGTGCGATTTCCAGTCAGCTAACTAAGATGCCTTTCACAGGAAAGGGTACTTCTTATGCCCGTCTTTGTCGAAGACAATAGAGATACTTTTCTCAAGAGAAGATACCCTAGTCGCCTAGCCGCAAATGCCAATGCTGGCATCAAGTGGAGCTAAGCTCTACATTCTTTGTGCAGTATGCTTTCCAGCAGGAGAGG